GTTCTTAGTAGTAGTAGTGGATTATTTCACCAAGTGGGTAGAAGCTGAACCTCTTGTAACGATCACAGCCCGGAATGTCCAAAACTTCTTTTGGAAGAACATTGTGTGCCGCTTCGGGCTACCCCGGGTACTAATTTCTGACAACGGCAAGTAGTTCGAGGACATCAAATTCCAGAACTGGTGCCAAGACATGGGGACCCGACAGAATTTCCCTTCAGTTGCACACCCTCAAGCAAACGATCAAGTAGAAGTCACAAACAGAGCCATCCTTCGCAGACTGAAGGTACGTCTTGACCGAGCTAAAGGATTGTGGGCAGACGAGCTACCTAGTGTTCTATGGGCTTACCGAACGACGGAGAAAACCGCCACAGGAGAGACTCCCTTCAACCTCACCTACGGCACCGAAGCAATTATCTTGGCAGAAATCGAAGTACCTACGCTACGACTGGAAGCATACAATGATAAGACGAATGAGGATGCGCTATGCACCAACTTCGATCTACTCGACGAAGTAAGGGACCTCGCGTACATCAGGACCGCAACTTACCAGTAAAGAGTAGCTCGGTACTATAACGCCAGGGTCAAGAAGCGGAACCTCCGCGTTGGCGACCTGATCCTTCGTAAAGTTATGGTACCTGAGCCTGGCGCTGGCAAGCTCGAGTCAAACTGGGAAGGACCTTACAGAGTAAAACGAGTGCTCGGGGAAGGAACATAAGAGTTCGAGACCCTCGAAGGGAAACAGGTACCTCGGGCATGGAATATTGTCAACTTAAGACAATACTACATGTAACAACTGAGTAGGCTATGAACCACTCCTAGAGCCTAAGGGCCAAAATGCCGAGCTAACATGGTCTCGGCACTATAAGACCCCGTTGCGTCTTCGGCATAGGTGAACTCTAGGGGAACGGACTATAAGCCGCTCCTCCAGCCTAAGGGCTAAAAGCTGAGCTAATGAAAGACCTCAGCACCATATAAGACCTACTCGCCTCGTCGACATAGGCTCAGTACTTGTAATGCCTAAGGCGCAGGCAGCTCAGGTACGAACCTTGTGATGCATAGCCTACCCCGGCATGCAACATGTTGAACCCGTTAAGGACAACCGGTGTCAACTTAACCCGGGTGCAGACAGGGCAGGCATATACCCTTCTATGTTACTCACCTCGGTGTACATAAGGTTACCCCTACTAAGTACTGGAAGACAGTTCGGGGTGACGACAGTTGAGAAACCCCCACTTCGGGTACTTAGCTTGATAGCTTAATAGTTCAGGATAAAATAATCACTTCAGCAAGTAAAGTAAATTGCGCAACATTTAGCAAAGTTTATTTTCATTACAAAATGTTTGTTACAAGAGAAGAAAAAAGATCAAGCTCGCAAGTACAATGACTAAACTTCTTTGGAGGCTCATCGCCTTTGCCAAGGACCTCCTTAGAGGCATTAACTAGACCGGTGGCCTCTGCTTCATCATCGGTGCCTTCATCCTCAGAGTCTGGATCATCCGCTGACTAACGCACTATGTCATCAGTGATCCGCGAAGTAGTGATGGCGCTTGTATCAAGACCGGGGTAGATGTGCCTAATCAACCACCGGCTGAGCTTGAAGCCCTTGCGGTAGGCCTCGGTCATCACATCGTCAAACTTCGACGACTGAACATAGTCGATGATAGCTTGAACCTTGGTCTCCTTGAGGGCATCCTCGAAGATCTCGGTCTTCTCTTTGATGTCGCCTCGGAGGTACTCCAACTCGTGCTCCAGCTTCCCTTTTCTTTCCTTGAGGCCCTGCACCTCGAGCTTCAGGGTGTCCCAGTCTGCCTTGAGACTGTCCACCTCAAGCCTCCTGGCCTCTTGGCCGACCTTGAACCCGTTCACCTCGGCCCTCAGTCTGTCCTTGTCTCGGGTCAGCTTGTTCTTCTCCGCCAACAGCACCTCGATAATGCTCTTCTGAGCTGAGGCATCGTTCTGCAAGCGGTGGATCTGACCGCAAGCTGCCCTCAGTTCGGTATGGGCTGCGCGGGATGACTTCTCATCTTCCAAAGCCCATCTTAGATGCCGGTCAGATTGAAGGGTCAAGGCACGCATAACAGAGTTCACCTACAAAAAAGGAGACTAGTAAAAAAAAGGGAGAGAGAGAAAGAAAATCTTCCACAAGAACTCACCACCATGGTATGAGTAGCAGCTCGGGCACCAAGCTGACTAGGAGTGAGGTCAGCCCACTCTGTGACCTCCTCCGGATATGCAACCTCCTTACTCTTTTGGAGACTGCACTGGGGGTTCAGGATACTTTGGCTCTCCTGACTCTCCGAGCTAGACGCTGTCATCTCTGCTGCATGGGTGGACTGCTCGGAAGCCTCGGTCGCGACACCAGCAAGACAGGCCCTGGCTGCAGCCTCTGCAGGGCAGGCCTCAGTGGCAGCTTCTATAGCATCCCCGACAGCAGTCTCGGCAGGCTTAGCAGTGGGCTCTGCCGCCATCTTAGGCCCCGAAGGCGCCATATCCCCCTCCAGGTCGATGACAGGTTGAGTGCCGGGGAGCTCAGGCTTTGGAGCCGGGGCCTATGGAGGCTGAGTCTCGGTAGAGGCCTGCGGGGACTCAACGCGCGCCTTCTTGGCTACATGCTTCTTTCTCTTAATCTGGCGGAAAAAGCCTCTAACTGTCTATCTTTTCCACCTCCATGGGACCTGCAGTGAAGCTCGACATTAGTAACCCTGATGTAAGTATGCGAACAAAAAAGCCGATGTAAAGACAAACCTACCCGGGCTCAAACCGGCCTGGATGAGCTTCTCCTCGGCTCTGAAGTCCTTGTAATCCAACCCGAGTTGAGCCCATGACTGAAGTGACTTCTTTGTCTTCCCATCGAGGATAACACTGGGGTCTTGAACGGTCACCCCGTGCTTCTCCAAACTACAAAGTAGTCCCGCTTCCAGGCCGGGACTTTACTCGGGAGCTTATGCATTAATTTAAAACCCGAACGGGGAGACAGATATTAGGCCCGCCTGTGCTCGGGGAGAGCACCCGAAGCACTCTTCTTTATTGCCAAGATAGTACTGAGGATATGTAGGTCAATGGGGAAGGCGCGGTCGAAGCAGAGGGAAATGGTCCCAACCACATTCCGTATGGAATTCGGGTGAAGCTGGTCCAAGGTAATGTTAAAGTGCACCAGCACCTCAACAATCAGAGGGTGAAGAGGAAGACGGAGTCCGGCGACCAGTTGCTCCCTGAAGACCACGATCTCATCGAGACCGTGCTCCCATAGAAAACTGCCGGTAGGAAGATTGTAAGAGTACTCCCCGGGAAGGTGGAACCTCTGTATGAGGTCTTGGAGTCTCACCGGAGTCATGGTGGAAGGGCTGAACTGATCTGGCACCCGACCTCGGTGGGAGGTGGATGCTAGATGACCCGAAGCCACCCGTACATCGGACCGCTGGGCGGCAGAAGAGCCACCCTGAGCCGAGGTACCCACCTCGGGCTCGTCGATAAGGCTATCTACACTGGACGACATTATAACACGGAAAGGAAAGAATGTTCAGAAAAGAAAAGGAAGCTCGAGGACTCACCGCAGAAAACGCGAACCGAACTAGGGAATAACCGAGCTAGGAACCTCAAACACGAGCTCAATACTGACGCTGAAGACTTTGTGGCGAGGAAACGACCAAGGGTCCCCCACTATTTATAGCCATTGCATCCGGGTGTTAACGGTCAAGATTGAGATGATCCAACGGCTCTCAAAGAAACCGACTACGGGCTCCTCGAGGAAGAAACAGTTTAGCGCGTTTTTTGGTGTCCGTGAAGTTCAAATCTCATGATGTCCGCGCGTAAACTGAACGCGACCCCGGTTTCTCCTGATCAAGCCGGGCACTGGACCGGTCCAGCTAGGTGAAACGCACGACGAAGTGGCATGAGTACCGAAGCCAAATCTACCCGGCATGTCATGAACTCCCCACACTGGGTCAGCGCTGCCAGCACAGGGAGTGGGGGGCAATTGATGGAGGGTGATTTGGCCTGACCTCGTAGCATGGGTACACGTGGGCATGACCTTGCTCGAGCGATGACTCAGCCTGACAGCACGGCAAGCGCAACCACAACTTGGTGGGAAGGGCTCACCGAGCTCATCCCGGCAACTCGGTGGGTTAGGCTACTCGCCGAGAGCCGCCTGGCGTGCACTTCCTCCCCGAGGCTAAGGCACCCCGAGCTACCTCCGAGCTCGGGGCCCCCTGACCTTTCCTAATGCTCGAGCTCCTCCTAGTGGATTTTAGGCCACTCCCAAACAGGAATACTCCGATCCGCCTCTAGATACCCCGAGGTAAAGACACCTCGGGCCGGACAGCTCGGTGTAGCTTGCCTTGGGTAGCTCGCCACTTGCGAGATAACTCGGTACAGGGTAGCTCGCGAAAGAGCAGTTCGGCATATCGCAAGAAGATCTCCTGCCTGACCACCATACCTTACAAACCTGGAGACTGCAACCACGTCTCTCGTCAGACAGTGTTGTGCCCGCCACCTTTGGAGGGTGTCTTACATCTGACAGGTACGTACCCTGCAACAACGGCCTCGCGCGTGCCACCTCTGCCCTGGCTGTAACGGCTGCGGAAGGACGACAGTGGCGGTTACACCTGCCCTGTGAGAGGCTAGTGGGTCTGATTCAACAGAGTTCTATTATAAGTAGCCCAATCTCAAAGAACAAAGGTAACTTCCTGATACTCGCGCTATCTGCACTCTTAGCTTTCTTCCTCTCTTTGCATTTTCACAGAATTCTAACTTAAGCGTCGGAGTGTTCTCGTCGAGCAAGCCCCCGGGGATTCCTCATCTTCTTCATCTCAGGTATGATTTGAGGAGCCACGCAAGTATCAGGTAGGAGTGACCGAATTCCGCACCATGGGGACGGGGATGGATTGGGAAAAGCTTGTCCCCGTTGGTGGGAATAGGGATAGGATTTTTCATGGGGACGGAGATGCAGAGTGGATCCCAATCCCTACACTACAAGAAAAACAGTATAGGCCGGCAGTTTTCTGTCGGCGACCTTATGTAAATGTCTGCAATGATCGGCAACTCGAAAAAATGTTAACCATTCAAGGGCCGACGGTCAAGTTTTAAGTAGGTCACGTATCTCACCATGCGTCCCGATGGTTGTTATTTGCAAATAAAATAAAAAAATAAATAGATGATAAAATTTTATGGCTTTCGCCAAAACTGTGTATTACGCAAGAGAGGGAGTCTTAATACCAAATCATGAAACCCTTGCTAGAATATGTTGGTTTCCATGAATCTCGATGGTATATATTCTTCGTTCTTCGAGTATATACATTTTTTTCCTCCACCGATTCAGAGAACTAAATCCTTAAATCTCCATTATCTTCTTCGAGCCTATTATTCTCTCTTCACCGATTCAGAGAACTACTGTGTCTCCTTCATTCTGAATACTCTCCACTGATTCAGAGATCTCTTCACCGAGCTTTCTTACTATCTCTCTTCCTCCACCGATTTAGGGAACTGTGGAGCCACGAACAGGGAGGTCGTTTTGAATACTCGACTGTTTCAGAGAGGTCGATTTTGATAGAGATGGGAATGGTCAGCGTCTCGAAGAACTTTTGTCTGTAGAAGCCAACAAAAAGAAACTGAACTTTATATTTGATGATTTAGCTGAGGTTTCTTTTCTTAATTACGAAGAGAATTTAGAGGGGCGACAACATCAAGATCTGAGTAGGGACGACGAAGATGCCACAGTGGAAGGGAAATCTACAATTTCTCCTGAACCAATCACGAACCAGAAGGAAAGTAGGGAACTCTATTCTTTTATCCCCTGAAAACTGGTGATGTTTCAGATATTCATCAAACCCTTGAAAAGAGTTTATCAGATTACCATGCTTTTGATAGTAATGGTGCTCTTTCGGCTGTTAACTCACCAACTACCTAAGGTATTGAAGTCAAAGAATCTCTTTCCTGGAGGTATGTAATACGTTCGTTTGACTAATAGTATACTTTTTTTTTTTTTTTTTTACGTTGAACTCAAATCAAACTTAATTGCATTTGAACTTGGACTGTTAGATTTTCTTAAAGTTTATTTAAAGCTTTATGAAGATAAGTTTTTTTAAAGCTGAGGTTGCTTATTGTTGTTGTCATAGAAAATTGTGTCTAAGTTTCAGCAATGGGGTCACTTCACATGCCAGTAAATATGGTTTCACTTCAATTACTTCATTAGTAACAACCTAGGTTGAAGGAGAGGATCATATCTGTAAGTTGTATTATGTTTATAAGAATTAGTTTTTAGGTCATAGATATTGATCAAAATTGAGAATGAGGTTAAAATATCTTAATTTTTTTCTACTGATCAGTATTTGTTTATGTGTACTCTTACAGAAGATCTTCAGGACCATCATTGGGCAATGAAATTTTCTTTCATAGAAGCCTGTCCCACTGATTGCTACACTTCCTTTGGAGGTACTTTCAATCATGTTTTTTTCATTATTTTCAAATGATACATCATTAAACATGGAGATTGTATTATCTAGAATTTCTTTGCCTATTCTTATCATGAGATTCAAGATCTTTTTTTGGGCATTAAGTTTCTCTGTCTATTATGCCATCCTGTGCATATGTGGCATGCTTGTATGCCATTGTTCAACGAGAGGGCTAGTGATGCCTGCGGTACATGATGAATAATCAATGTCAATTTAGTGCACCAACATTTTAGGATATAGAAAGAAATAAAAGGAAATGTCTATCTAAAGATTTTAAATTTGCTGGAGTTGGTGATTTTTGTGCCCCTCCAATTCAAACCATGCAATGGATGGTGAAAAATTTTGGGATAGATAATGAGTGGCCCAAGTTTACTGCATAGTGTGAGACAGTTTTTATGTACAATGTATTTTGCCCTTATCACTAAAGAAGCTATTTCTCTGTTTGAGTCTTCAACAACTTTCATGTACAATGTATTCTAGTTGGCTTTATTTTTGAGCATATTACTGTCTTCCACACTTAAGGTATACTTATATATTTTACTTGGCTCAGGTTCAAGACAAAATTGGAGAGTTCATAAAAGGTGTATTGGTCTTATAAAGTTGTGCTATACTTTTCAGGTGGGGCAACATTGAGTAAGGCAGAGACCTGAGTCCTATAAAAAGCTTTGTTAATTCTCCCATGTTTTTGTTTTTGTTTTTTTTATTCTTGATTATTATTCTTCCATGAACTTTAACATTCTATTATTTCATTATGGGGTGTATTTTAGAGTACCGGATGTCTCAAAAGTTATAAGAGGCAGATTTGTGAACTGATGCATGGGTTACATTGCAGACAAGCACTTCCTTGAAGTTCACTGTTTTGAACCCTAAAGGACGAATCGGGACAATGGTAGCTGGTGGTGGTGCAAGTGTTATATATGCTGATATTGTAAGTTTTCTCATTTCTTTTCCTTCTAATGCTACTTCATTTTCTTTGATTGCCTAGGTATATCTCTGCCAATGCCAGGTTGAAAAGTTCATGTTGAGCATATCAAAACTTAGCAATATCCTTGGTGTTGAAAAGATAGCTGAACAGGAATGCATGCTTCTTTCACATTTGAATAACATCTATAAATTTTTATTTACCATTTTGCAGCTATATTTATTATTGCTTCAGCTGTCGCTTTTTAATTTTTCAAACCAGATTGATGCTGATACAACGTTAAAAGGGGAAGAGGGTGAAGTTGATTTTAAGAGAAGGATGGGAAGTTTGCACGGCAGATGAAAGAGAAGGGAGAAGTAGTTAGTGATTTTGCAAACTGGATACTTAATGAGACTCGTGTTAGTTTAGAACATTCACGGTCGTTGGATAAGTCTGGGGAGATTTATCCTGCCAAGGCTGACACTGGTGTACTGCCAAGTGTTGGGGTGGCTTGTCTCAGTCGCCAGAGTGAGACCCAAGGCACATGCAGTGTAGAATTCCTTGAATCCTTGATGGGCAAAACTTGAAAGTTACACCTGACCCCTATACCCGATTATGGAGTTGCACTAGGTGTCGGATTGGGCTGTCTTTGATATGCCAATCAATGAGATCCTTAATGGGGGTCAAAACTTGGGTAAGTTTGGACAGTCTGAGAATTCATCTAAGTGGGTGATCATAGTGATAGGATCAACCCCTTTGTTAGACAAAGGTAATGATCGAGGATGCACTCTCTCTGATGGAAACCAAACTGTCGGCAGTTGATTTCAATCGTTAGATTTTTTTTTCCAAAATTTATATATATAAGATATATAGATATATACGGTTTCAAAATGTTTGCAAATGGTTTTAATTCCCGGGATCCATGTGAGTAGAGAGTGCAACACTGTTCCTTGCAGCCGAGGGAGATGTCCTCTCTTGTCGGGCAGTGTTTGATCATTATGGGCTGAGAGGTTAAGTGTAAGGCCATATAGGGTTATACCTAATGGGCAAATCTTACATCTGCCCATAGTCCTTGGGTTTTATAAGATGTCTTGGCCCAGGGACCACTTAGTGTAACTGTTGGGCTCATAGAGTCCATGTGATGGGCTCAAGGGGTTCATTGGGCTTTCTTGTGAATTCGACTAGGCCTTGTAACAAAGGTTGGGCCGAACCCATGTGACTGATGTGTAGATCAATGCTTGGGTTCCACGCCATACAAAGAAGCCCAACTAGGTAGTATTTTGGAAGCCTATTGAGCACTTAATATATATTGGGCCTAAAGCCTATTTCGAACTGGACTGATTTGATCAGTCACTTAAAGGGGCGGATCTGAGATTAGGTCAAGCCAAGTGTTGGGGTGGCCTGTCTCAGCTACCAAGGTGAGACCCAAAGCACATGTAATGTAGGATTACTTGAATCTTTGAATCGGACCAGATTTCCAGTATTGCCCTGGACCTTGGAGATTGAATGGCAAAACTGGAAAGTTACACCTGACCCTTAGACTCGATTATGATACTGCACTAGGTTTTGGATTGGGCTGTCTTTGATCTGCCAATCAGTGAGATCCTTAGCAGGGGTCACAACTTGGGTATGTTGGGACAGTTTGAGAAATCATCTGAGTGGGTGATCATAGTGATAAGATCAGCCCCTTTGTCGGACAAAGGTAATGATCGGGGATGCACTCTCTCTGATGGAAACCAAAACTGCTGGCAGTTGATTTCAATCGTTGAAATTTGTTTTGCAAAATATATTTATATACGGATATACATATATACATAATGGTTTCAAAATGTTTGCAAAAGATTTTAATTCTTGGGATCCATGTGAGTAGAGAATGCAACACTGTTCCTTGCAGCCGAGGGAGAGGTCCTTTCTTGTCGGACAGTGTTTGATCATTATGGGCTGAGAGGGTAAGTGTAAGACCATTGAGGATAATACCTGATGGGTTAAAGGGGTTCACTGGGCTTTCCAGTGAATTCGGCTAGGCCTTGTAACAAAGGTTGGGCCGAACCCATGTGGCTGATGTGTAGATCAATGCTTGGGTTCCACGCCATACAAAGAAGCCCAACTAGGTAGTATTTTGGAAGCCCATTGAGCACTTAATATATATTGGGCCTAAAGCCCATTTCGAACTGTACTGATTTGATCAGTCACTTAAAGGGGTGGATCTGAGATTAGATCAAGCCAAGAAGATTGGGTCTTAACTCTATCCACTCATGGAGACCAAATTCAAATTAGGATTTGAATCTGGTAACCTCTTGATAAGATCAGGAGTGGGCCGATCTAATCTGCAGATAGGGTTAAGAAGACTCATTATCCAAATACAGATTTGGATTAAGATAACTCCTAATGAGATTAGGAGGTTTCTTAATCACAAAGAAAGAGGAGAAAACAATAATTCAAATTACAAGAATTCGAACCATAAGGGATTTCGCAGATTAGACTGCATTCTTGAGATAGGATCTCAGAAACCGTAGAGAAGAGAAAAGTAGTTTGCCATCTTCTTCTCTAGCCTTCTCCTCCAGCAGCCACCGCCATCTACTGCCAGTTCGAGTTCTCTGTGAGGGAAGATCAAGAAAAGTTTTTGATTGTGTGTGGTGCTCACTGTTTCCATCGAGTTCTTCAGAAGAACCTGGTTCGTGGGACGAACACTATTGGTTCTGTTCCATCATCACTGTGTCATCTTTAGTGGGAGCAGTTCTTGGGATTTTCTTTGGGCGTGAACACCGACGTTGGGAGATACTGCTTCTCCGGATCAGGTATATCCCTTCCCTTCTCTTTTGGTTCAGAACTGGTTCAGTTTTGGTTCAAGATAAATCCTGGAAAATTCAGGGAATATGATTCATAGTTGGAAGAATGGCAAGAAATTTTTGAAATTCGCCCACCTATTCCACAACCTTTTCGGCGTCCATACGATGGATCTTACCATTCTTTCAAAGTCCATATCCCAACAGAGGCAATATTTGCCAATTTATTCTGTACGTGATGAATTGTTGCAGGTTAGCACTTAGTCTCTGTGGAAATCAATTTAGTTTCACATCAAATTGTAACATGTTAAGATGTGGTGCACATGTGAAGTTTGTTTTGCGCTTTGTATGTACAAATTTCCTAATTAGGACCCAATCATTTCATTCTTCCATCTACTTGAGCAAAATCAGAATGATCTAATTGATGTATCTCATTCGTTTGGATTAGTAGAAGAAATGAGGGTTTTTGAAAGTTTCTTGTTATTGGTAAGGAAAAAAAAGAAACGAGAAAATTATTAGAAGATTGAATTGTTTTTGTTTAGCTCATTTTTTTGTTCTTGCCCCAGGACCATTTCTTGGAATGGGTAGAACCGGGGCTGGGAATTGCTTTGTAATTTTGCTGTAATATATGGAATTCTGACTAGTATTGGGCAAGCCAAGAAGGTATTGTAATTATTGGACTGCTACTTGTTTGGGGCAGTTTGATTTACATTAATAAAAATTATATTAATTATGAAAAAGGAAGATGTACACAAACATTTTGGGTTTGAGCTCTTACTGGAATTGTTGGTTGCACTCAACCAAGACTTGTTACAGCTATGAGTGAGGAGATGCAAACTGAGCTAGGTGATATAGTTGGTTATGCTATTCGGTTTGAGGATGTGACAGGGCCAAATACCATTATAAACATAATCAGCTGATCTGATTTCTTTTTTTTTTTTCTATAATATTGTTTATTATTCAGAGTTTTGATTCCTATTGTGGGACAAAATTGTTACAAAGACATCATTGTGTAAAGCCGAAGACGAGACTCAAAAATGCATCGTGGCTATCAATATTACGAAGACATCCTTAACTTTGGATGGTATCTAATACGTCACTGATACAGGTTATGGTAAGATGAAAGTTTACAATCCAAGAATGGGTATGGATGACCTCCAAGTACCTGCTATCGTTTGTACACAAAGATTGCCTACCAAAATGAGATGCTTCCAAATCCCGTGCCAGAGATCCAGAGGACTAATCTTGGCAATATAGTTTTGTTGCTTAAATCCTTTAAGATAGAAAACTTAATGGATTTTGATTTCATGGACCCACCTCCACAGGATAATATACTAAATTCCATGCATCAATTGTGGGTCTTGGGTGCCCTGAACAATATGTTGGCAGTTTGATAGATCTTGGATGGAAGATGGTTGAGTTCCCACTGGATCCACCACTTGCTAAGATGCTCCTGATAGGGGAACAATGGTTGGTTGACTTAGGCCCCATGTTTTTCTCAATGAAAGAGTTAGAGACATCGATGCTGGAACAAGAGGCAGCAAAAGGAAGAGAAGACAGTAATGGAAGAAGAAATGGAAAACTTGAGGAAATTACAAGCAGAGGTGGAGAGAGAAACCAAAGCCAAGGAGAAGGAGAGGTGGGCGAGGCAACAACAACGGGCATCGATGCCAAGATTTTGTCCACCAAAGAAATTTGGCTTCTAATTGTATATTATGTTGTTATCATATTGTTTTTACTTAATCATTTTTTACATTAAAATGAGATATTTTATTGTATATAGAGATGGAGGTTTAGGTTGTATTCATGAGATTAACCCTGTTGGGATTTTGGATGATATTTTTGCAATCTTTGTGGTGTAAGGGGTTGAATGCATCTTTCCCCATTAATTTTTGCCAATTTTTTTTGTCTTAAATATCAATTTTAATTTTTTTATTTAAAAAAAGAGAAAGAATACAAACTTTATATGGAAGCTTCCATATAAAAAAAAAACATAGCTCTAAGCCAGCGGTCAACTAATTGCCGACTTAGCCATAATTAAGGCCATGTGTGGCAATCAAATATGATATACGCCGGTGGCTCAGACCGCCGCCTTTAGTAATTGGCCAATTTGGGCAAAACCTAAGCCGACAGTTCAGAAATGTCGGCACAAATGGCAATTTCAAATTTAGCCAATAGTCTACTTTTATTTGTACCAGCGGTTTCCAATGCTGGTTTTTAAAAAGATTTTTTTTTAATTTACTTTTTCTCGGTAGTGTATAACTGCCAGTATAAGGAGGGATAAGCTGACAATTTTGACAAACCGCCGGCAATGCTTTAATTCAATGGCCATGGTTAGTGCAACCTATGCCGACGGTTTTATGCGAATATCACAGTGGTCTTTATTTTTGCGGACGGTGGCTATACCGACAAAGAAAGACCGTCGTCTTAAGTCAATGCCGGCGGTCATGAAATTTGTGCCGACGAATCTAGACCGCCGGCTAAAACTTGTTTTTTTTGTAGTGCTAGATCGCCGCATTACTATTCTTAAGATCAAATCTCATTGCCACCAAGGTTGGGGGTTGTGAGTTTGGGGGATGCCCCCTGGTTGTGTAGCCCTATGAAGCCTATGTTTAGCAACTTTGTGGGTTGAGGCATTTACTGGTCTAGGAATGAAAGAAAACTTCTCATTGAGCCAAAAAAAAAACTACAATCCTAATGATGCCTCAAAGATGCCAAGGCAGGTAAAAATTAACATCTTTTAAAATCTCGATAACGTGAGTCACATCAACTTCAATGGTTATGCAATTTACATTAAACTCAACTGCATGTCCAATGTTCACGATAAATGCTTGAGCATATTCCAAAAGAAAGCATACTGGAAATACTTAGAGAATACTACTAAACAAGAACACACAAAGAACAAGGCCAGCTAAGGCCAAGAGGGAGTACAAGATGCATCCACATTAAACTTAAACCTAGATTTAAAAGGGTAGCATTTACAAATATATTGAGAAACATGACTAAAAACTATGAGTGTTTTCCGTAGTGCGGATGAGAAATTGGTGGGTGTGGATTGGTCCACAGGACCACACTACATTCTGTGGAATGACGAATCCACACCACACCATAATTCACAATTGTTCTGAACTGTAGATAAACTGTGTGGGTTCCCATAGTGGCATTTTGTAGGCCTGTTGTGAACCAATCCACATCACACTTTTTGATTCCATGTATCTCATATAGATTTTATGAATGATCTACATAGTTGATCATAAATGTCTAATTTTTACATTTTATATGATAAATAAATTGAAAAGGCATCAACAAATTAAAATTAACTAATAAATATTAATTTTAATTAAAAAATATAGTAAAGTAATTAAAAAATAAAAATATTATTTGATTGATAAAAACATTAAAAATTAATATTTAAATAAATGAAAAAATAGTGGAGAAGGAGCACCACTAGGCTTGTGCTAGAATTAGCAATAAAAAATATTATTTTATTGATAAAGTATTAAAAATTTAAAATTAAAAAAATATTATTTTAAAACTTAAAAATTAAAAAGAAAGAAAAGTATGTGCAATAGATGTATTATATCAAAATAGAGTGTGGAAACATTGTGAACCAGCCACATCCACAAGAAATATGTGTGGTCGAGATTTTGGACTGTGACAGGGATGGTTTATGATATATTGTAAACCAGTCCCATCAACAACCAACCAAACATCGTGGCCATCCCATGTCATGGTTCAAAACAAGTCATCCACGAGATGACCACAATTCCGAACACCACCTAAATGTACCAAGAATCACATTGCCTTGAACACAAGCATTCAAAATAGATGAAACCTGGGCTTGGGCTGTAGCTATTACTTGATAAGGGTTGGGATTATAATGATAAAAAATTACTGCACACTTGTGCTTCCGTAGCTGCCACAAAATATGGCACAATAAGAGAAAAACTGACTAATCATACCTTACCGTTTTCATCCATGTGATTATTTTCTTTGTTTTTCTCTATGTATCACATATACATATACCATGCTTAAGGCTCATCAATAATCCCTTTTGATGTTGATAATGCAATTTTCATGATGAATGCACAAGATCACATAAGAGATTTCCACCTCTCATAAGAACCCTAGATAGATGGCAAGATTATATTTTTTTTCCTATATCTACAAGGATTAAACAATACAAAAGTTTGTTTCTATTTATTGTCCAACATTGGTTGGATGTTAATGACCTTCATTATAAATAAAGGACATTGTCCTACGAATGGGATTTACATTTATTTTCTATCGTTACCCCATTTGAGGAAAAGAAGGAATTGTGAGTTTAAGTAAGAAGAAATATGATGAAGGTGAGTGGTGGAAAAAAAACAAGTATCCATTAATTGGATTTTCTCAACATGTTCCAAATTATATCATGTGAGTGAGGCAAAATAAAGAGGAAACCTTCTCTTTGTCCATCAATTATCTTTTCTATGTGTTTTCTTATATACATTGACATATGATTGCTTATATTTCTCAACTCCTTTTCATTTGCTCAAAATAGTCTAAAGTAAACCAAGGGAATAGATGAATGGGGTGATTTAAGTGGTTCTTTACATCCAACCATGGAGAGAAATAAATGAGGAAAACTAATTGAGAAAAAAAAGATTCTTATGTACATTTTTAACTTTTTAATCTCATTTCATTCATGGATGAAAATCCAACCATGATTACTTATTATTTTCTAAATGAATGTAAGACTATAAATAAGTGAGGCAAAATCCCTTAATTGTTTCTTTTCCTTCTAAAAGGCCATCTTTAACATGGTGAGTCTTCATGAACAAATTGTCATGTAGTGGTGGTTATTGTTCTATAATGCATAATATAAAGAGAATAGAAGAATGAATACTACCGTTAAGCCAAGATTCAAAAGGCTAACAAATTAGTTTTATGAAGTTCTAACTCAGCCCACAAACACTGAAATGTAATGGACCTCTCTTTTTCTTACCTCTAAGTTTGATTACTCATATTTATTTGCTTTTCATGTATTTTGAAACCTCTCTTTTTTCTTTGCAACTCTTTGCAATGACTACATATTTGGAATAATGGGAACTCACATTTTTTCCCTTTGCTTTTCTCACACTAACCATTTTTTCCCTTAGGGCAACCCTTAACTCCTTTTATTGGACCATTGTAAAATCATTTACCCTTTTATTTAATTAAACTTGCTTTAATTGTTTTCTTCGCCCAAATTTGAATTCAGGTTATGCGAAGCCTGATGATTTTTTTTTCCAACAATTCCAAATGAAAACATGTGACAAATTGTTAATTTTTTAACAAAATTCTACAAATGGTTTGTTTTTCATGACTAAACAATTGTAGTGTTTCAATGTGAAAACTCTACTCTTTTTGTTTTGCTTATTTACTACTAAAAGAAAAGAACAAATGGTATTAAAAACAATATAATTTTAATACATTTTAATATAGTTTAATATATTTGTATTTATGTTTAATTTTAATGGTAATATAAATTGTTTTATCTACTTTTTACCACTAAAATTAATAGTATTAATTGTTTTTATGTAATTGATATCTTGTGTTCCATACAAGTTATCAATATAGAAACCAATATTTAATTATTTGGAATTTGTATATCTTATGGTTCATTGTAAATAGGTTGAATAAAACTCAAAAATGGGAAACCATACAATTATGGGTTGGCGGAATGGGTTATAGGAAGCCCCCAATTTCATCTTCTTCACTTACATTGGTAAAAATGAAGGGCTGGGATGGTTTGGGTTTGATATCCCATTTCATCGTGTGATGCATTGGCTTTGTTAAGTAAAATCAATGTAGAATGAGTATTATGATGTTTGTAATTAGCTAAGCCATATCAAGTCCATGCCCATACATTATTTTTAAGGTATGTATTGTCTGATAAATTTTGAATTTCATTAATTTTTTGTATTGTTAGATAAATGTGTATTACTTTTTACTATATATATTATTTCTCTACTATTAGTACTAAGCCATTTATTAGTTATTCAATAATTATATTATTAGTTTATTCATCTTAATCATTTAACTAAGGTTGTTAAGTATAATTAATTAAATTATTATGATTAGTTAAGTTTAACCAAGTGCTTGACTTAATGAAATTATAAGTTAAATTATTAAGTTATTTAGTTAATTAGTTGTTACTTAAGTGTAGTAAATGTTATTAACTTATTAAGTTTAAATAAGTATGATTAATTAATTATGTTAAGGTTTTTTTGTTTAGGGCTAGTATAATAAGTCGGGTACTCAAGCCTTTAAGGATTATAAATGCCGGATTTTGTTTTGTGAGTTCAATTGACTCTTAAGTTGTTATGGAACTAGGTCTTGTGAGATTCTAATTATTCATCCTTTTCATTCCTATTGTAAAAACAGACAATGGGAATTATAGTTTAGAGGGAAGAGATTTAAGTGGAAAAAATTGAATAAATAGAGGAGATATTGTAGGGATGTAGGAATTTTGTTTTATATGAAGAGATTTAGATGGAGACTAAGGAAAGGGAAAATTATAACATAGTGAAGCGTAATGTGTGGCAAGGATGAATATATTTAATTAAAAAAAACAAAAAATAGACAATTTAGAGGGGAAATGAGCAATGAAAAGGTCTTCAACATGGCATACATTACTTTATTTATATAAAATAAATGAGGGGGATAAAATGCTTTCACCTTGAAATTTTATTAACAATTATTGAACAAAATATAAAAAGATACATGGGAGGACTTAGCGTGTCTTGCCCCAAACCCGAAGCTACAAAAGCTTTCCCTAACCAATCCA